AAAACCACTACCATTAATACTAACACCAACTCAGCTTGCATACATACCTACATACAAACATACATACTTATAATGCAAGAGCCCAATGCCAGCAGCTGCCGCTTGTACATAAGTTATAAAGGTGTTTATATATAAGTATGCGCCTACAAGCATATAATATACACATGTACTTATGTATGTGTGTATATAAGTAAACACATACATACCTCTTTTGGTCGCTGTATCTGTTTCTTGTTATGACTGTTCTTGAATGCAGCATCTTTACATGTAAATACATTTTTCTTCTTTGTTATGCAGCTGAAATTGTTGTCTTCTGTTTTGTAATAATTTATCAGTTTAGTCTTACCAGCAGTAAAGATAAAATACCAGAGACAGAGTCCAGTATGTTGCAACAAAACATAGCGCGCGCAAAGATAATTTAAGGCATTTTAATGGCTTATTAATTTATGACCTTTCAAGACGCTATGCGATTCATTCTCAGCTGCAAGCACATAGTATACGCGCACACATAGTCAAAATACCTGCATACAGGCAGGCATCAATGTGAGTGCGCCTCTGGCTGTCCATTCCCAATTTGCCACAGAGCGAGGACGAGTTCGAATCGACGACTGGCGAAGTCGTTTCGGTGAACTCGAAACGAGGTCGAAATGAAGTCTTTTTTAACCGACAAAGGAGGAGGTTATCAGTTCGTCGGAATATTTTTTTTTACGTATGTTACCGCATAACTTTGGACCACGTCAATCGATTTCGATAATTCTTCTTGCATCGGAAAGGTAGTGTGTCAGAGGGGGTCATGAAATATGTACATATACATATATATATATTTATATAAGAATTGAAGTCGGTTTAGTTTTTTGCTTAAAAACTACTTGTTTTTATACAAAACGTAACGTCGTTCCGACCATGATTCAAATCAAAGGTTTTCTCACTACTGACATTAGAAAATGTTGCACACACACACACGCACCTATACTTGACTTGCTAAGTGAGCCGATTTGTCAAGAGGTTGCGAGAAAACTGTTTTCTGAGCAAACCTTTTATTATTGCGCAATGGTTCCGACGTCGTTTTTTCTCATCGAATCGAAGTCGTTACGACGTCGGTTTGGTGAAGTCGCTTGGGTGAACTCGAAACGACGTCAAATCGAATTCATTTTTTCCACACAAAATTTGTAAGCTTCTTTATATTTTTTCTTTTTATTCAGATTGAAATGTTTGAACTTTTTAGGAATGTTTGCTGGTTTTTTAAATTGGATTTAAAATATGTATGTATATGGTTTTTGTTAAATCTTTTGAGAATCGTTTTTTACGGCGCGCCGGCGAGACGTGCGCGAATGCCGCCGGCGAACAAGTTGTTCACCGCGCGTCGGTACGAAATCGTTTGGCAAATTGGGTTTTGTTGTATAGATCGAAATGTAATGCCCGCATTACATCGCTTTGAATCGGTCTACCATTTTAAATTGCTTCTCACGGCTGGATGTAGTGGTGTTACAGGACTAATTGTAAACAGACTATTTATAACGGCGCGGTATTCTATACCCATTTTGCCATTACTTCTTCTCAGTTGATTTCACTGTGGAAAAGCCTCAACCAAACTACAGTGACTCAAACAAGTGACCACGTGTTGTTTTTTTTTAGTATTCGCAATATTATTATCCAAGCCTTAACCAAAATCATACACTGAGCAAAAAATACAATGGCTATTTCAACCAAGTTATTGTTTGTTTTTTTTTCATGGTAAATACAATACAATGGTATTGTATGAAATGTGATTGAAGTTTAACATTTGTATATCTGGCTGTAGCTAAACGTGCAGAGATGCTTGCTGTTATTTGTTGGCTTCCAGCAGCAACGTGTTAAAAAATACAAAAATTTGGTTTTGTATCTCCAAATTATGTATAAAAAACAAAAAACATCCGTGAAGTGCAGAACATAAGCGTATTCAAACGAAAAAATTGACAACAATTGTTTAATATAAACAAAAGTGCGGTAAATTACCAAATAAATAGTTTTTGGAAGCATCAACCGTGGCTTTGTTATGTTAAACAAAAATCACCTTAATTCCCTTTCAAGTTTGAATTTGGTAATATTAACTAATTTTTGGGTGATTTTTTTCTCTGTGTATGAATCCAAGTTTCAAACTATCTACAAACTTCAGGAAAATTCAACAAATTTTCATCAAAATAATATTTTTTTTTTTTTAATATAAACCTTTAGAACATTTTTTCGACTTAAAAATCGCGTTGATTTCTAATCACTTTTTATATTAATTCAGATTCAGACTAAAAAGTTTGAAATTTTTATGAAAAATTTTTGTAATTTTTCCAAATTTTATATAAAATTTGAAACTTTGATTCACATATATGGGTTTGGTAAAGCTTGGACAATATTTTGATAGAAACATAACAAAAACAAAATTTACGTGAAAAACATTGTAAATATTAAAAAAAAAACACGGGGTCACTTGTTTGAGACACTGTACGTCCAAAAGAAAGGATACACACAGACATACTATGTGGTTGTCGAACTCCAATAGGATTTCAGTTCACATCATACATATTTCGAAACAATTTGTCGTATATTATTTACATGGCAGTTAACGGGTTAAAATATTCTACATGCAAAAATTTCAAACAGAAAGTTCAACTGAAAGTTATGCGATCATTTGTGAGTGTGATATGTCAAAAATCTGGCTCCTCCCACCCACTCCTGAACGCCCCCTTCTTGACAGGCCTGCATAAGTGGCTGTAAAGTAAGAAATAAATGATGTAAATATAAGTTGTTTTAAATATCATTTTTGTCTTCAGAGACCTACATATAGCGAAATTGAGACATTGAGCTCTAAAGAGGCCTTTTGTATTTCTAAAGAGAGTTCTAAACCCACTATGCCCAAAATACTCGTACTTTCGTCTTCCTGAATAAATCTAAAAGGGCCTGACCTACTACCGCTCCACAGTTATTACTGCGGCTCTCAATATTGCTCTCGAAGAAGACAAACTGTGACCACAAAATGATTCCGGTCCTAAACCGACAGCATCCCCATTATATTCGAACCCACAGTGGCCTGTTACTCAGCACAAACTCCGGCTCATTGTTTGCTTCGAAAATTAGAAATTTGTTAAAGTAGACTTCAACAATTTTGATTTCTAAATATCATCCTGTTAGATAGGCTGCTAGACTATCTGAAAACATAACTTGAAAATTTAGCGAGGGTTAAGATAGCTAATACTTCAGTCTGGAATACCGTGGGTCATCTACTCATGGGAATTCGTAACAGGTTCATAAATACCTCAATATAATCTGACTTTCATTCTTGAATGGTCTGTGTATCAATGTACACACTTATCTGGGATCAAGGTTAGGTATCCCGTTTGCCCAATCTTCGCGAAAAAAACACTTTCTGCAAAAGCAGAAATCTTTAATTATGGAATCGAAAATTCCGCATAGATATTTCCAAACCTGGTAACTTCACATGAATACCTACATGAAGCTTAGTTGTATAGAAGCAGTCATTAAGAGTCGAATCTGCAGTACCTTCTAGATTAGGTAAGGTTAGGTTAGAGCGGCTGCCACCACGCAGAGCACGAAGCCTTAGTAGCTGAACAACCAACTGCGTTTTATAATGCACAAAAAGTCAAGAACTTTCGCCGAGCTCTGGTCGACTAAACAATCTGAAACGTGCTTGTTGAAGAATTGGTTGCGCGTGTTGACCAGGGCGGGACAATGGCAGAGATAATGTTCGATGCTCTCTACCTCCTCCTCGTCTCCGCAGCTGCGGCAAATTCGTGCCCACTAAGCAGTGTTCGTTGGTCACACCGACTACTAATCTTCGAGAAGAGCGGTCCAGTACAGTGAGAACAATGGATCACTTTACACCAATCCTTGGCCAAAATTGTCTGGTAGTATGGCAGGTGGTTTCCACTAAGCACCTGGTATTTACCTCCTCGATTAGTTCGGCCTTAAGTCTGTCTAGCTTGAATAGAAATGTTAAGTGAAGTCCATCCTAAAAGCGACTCTAGGGCCGCAGTTGAGTAACAGCCTTATTATGAATCACGAATGATAGGCAACACGAACGATTCGTCTGCAGAGGAATGGTTCAAAAGTTAGTCCGGCGGCATCTTCTAGCCGGTTTAAACGCAACCGAGACGATTGCAATGTAAGTGATGAAAAGTAAGACGAAGACGACCGATAGAGTAATAAAATCGCAATTACAGGGGTGCGACGTTTTACTTACTACATACTTTTTTTTCGCTTTCCATATTCAAAAAATAAAGATTACTTTCGTAACACTAATTAAAAAAAAAACGTTTCTCTGCATAACTTACGAGTATTGTACAGAATTCTGAGTAAAAAAAAATATGCTGGCAGTATTTACTATGTACTTAATCCCTGTTGAGAACTTAAACATAACATCTAAATTTGAGTAGCAAATCGAGGAACAAAACATTTCAAAACAAATGGCGTTAAGACGTTGCGGCTCAAAATGTCGACTTTAGCCAGCAAAGGCTAAAGCCAATATTCCAATCGCATTTATTCTCCTACACTGAATAGATGCGATAATTTCGGCATAGAAATTACTTTTCTCAAACTCACACATACATACATAGAGACGTAGTGATTAGGCACATACATACCCATGTAGGCAAATTCGAAAAAAAAAAATAATCTCAGATCCTTTTTGCATCCTGCTGTACTCCTATTGCTTGAAATTGGATTAGATTCTTGTTGCGTGCTTAGTCAAATCTGTTATTTCTACCCAGCTTGAACTAACCACAACAACAGGATTAACTTATACGAGAACACACGCAAAGAGAACGAGAGCTTAGCTGAGATTAGAAAACATGAACTATGAACTGACTCGTGGCTACTCGTTTATGCATAGAAATTTAAATATTCACGCAGCGTTAAATAATACGATTTTTTTTTGGCCAACAGTAAACAATTACCCCACATTTTTCCTCATACTAATTTATTTTCTTCGATTTTTCCTCCTTCTCTTCCAGATTCTCAACACATTCCACATGTTAGCGGTTGTTTTGCTGCCGACAGCAGCGTGCTCCTTGCCAACGGTCAACGGAAAATGTTGCGTGACTTACGTATCGGCGATCGGGTACTCGCCATGAGCGCTACGGGTCAGCCCGTTTACAGTGAAGTTATACTCTTTATGGATCGAAATCTGGAGCAAGTGGAGAATTTTGTACAAATTCATACAGATGGCGGAGCGGCGCTAACTGTGACACCAGCGCACTTGGTATTGATTTGGCATCCAAATGAACAACGGCTGGAGTATATGTTCGCCGATCGGGTGGAAGAAGACGATTATGTGCTGGTGCATGATCATTATGGCCGCTTGAGTCCGCGACGCGTGCTGCGACTGAAGGTGGAGCGCAAGCCGGGTGTAGTGGCGCCTTTGACGCGTGAGGGTACAATTGTCGTAGATTCGGTGACGGCTTCCTGTTATGCAGTGGTGAATAGTCAAAAGTTGGCGCATTGGGGTTTGGCGCCGATGCGTCTAATGGCAGCAGTTAGATCGTGGTTACCTGGTAGCAGCACCGACGCTAATGCGACGGCACAAGCAAAGAGTGCGTCCAATTCGACGACGCCAACAACGACGCAGACGAAGGGTATTCATTGGTATGCGCAATTTTTGTATTCAATCAAGGATATTGTGTTGCCGCAGGAGTGGTCATATCAATGACCTGTCCGGTGATTATCTTAAATGGAAGACATATGCCTAGCGTCTACTTCGTCCTGGCTGCGAAGTTTTACGCTAGGTGCAACGTGACATACCCATTCACTTGATATACATACATATACATACATATGTATGTATGTAGTATGTAAAGTGAAATAGCTAGACGACTAAGCGCCTTATGAATTTTATTGAATGTAATTTGTTGACGCTGAATGCTTATTAGTTTAATGAATTGTTAGTTTCTAAGTAGGAAATCTTTTAATTATATTTTTTAAACTTTTACTGCTTCAACGGAAATGTGTGAATGTAGGCCAGTGGAATTGTTATGTATTTAGAAGAAAAAAATTTTGAATTGAAATGAGAAATCAAAAATTAATTTTAGTTTTATTTTCGATGTATTTGCGGCTATTTAACTTATTGTGCATGTGTGTGTGAGTGTGTGTGTGTGCGTGTATAGTAGTAAGAAGCCAAACGAGCAAAAATCCAATGTTTATACATAGTTAGTACGCATATAATATATGGTCATAAGCATTAACCGCCTAAGTCGACTTAAGAAAGAATTGAGTTATATATGCTGTCGTATTCTGCAATTACTGTTCCATGCGTATGTGAAATACCCACCTCGCCAGCTAGACTATTTAAAAAGTTATAGACGAAAATATTTTGGTTTCCCCATAAGGCTAACATCACAATCCAAATGTTTAAAACTTTTTTTCTCGAATTAAGATTTTTCGGCTTAGGCGGCTATTGCTTATGACCACTTACATATATAATTCATATAGATATGTACATCCCTAAAATGCGTGAATTTTTTTCGTAAAATACAAAATGCCAATTGTTGCACATTTTTTATATCTAAATCAGATGTTTTTTTGTTTAGTTTACTAATCAAAGTGAAAAATTTAGAGCATTCGCAACATTCAACGTGAACATCTATCTATCAACGATAACACCGCGCGGCAGTAAATTTTACACACAAACAAAAAATCAATATACTCGCTAACTAAAAAATTCAGTGAAACGTCGAGTAGCCATATGGGTATCAAATAGAAAAAAATATTTCTATTGAATTATGTTTAATTAAATTTTTTGGTACAGAACAACGTATAAGTATGGAATATGTCCTTTTAAAACTTTGCCCTTGAATGCCAAAGTTATTTTTGAAAAGAAGCACGGACAAATTCTTTGTGTGAGCGCCAGTCTATTATTATTATAATTTATTAATTTTTTTTAATATATCTTAAGAACTAATATGAAGATTGCCACAGTTTGGAATTTCGTCCTTCTAATTTTAATAGTTTTAGAAAAATAAAATAAACTTAATTAAAATGATATTTTCAATATCTATTCCGAAACCTAATCAAAAATTTTTTTTTTTCAATTCTAGAGAATTTTTTCCTTTTATTTGATACCCATATTGTTATTCTACATTGCACAATACTCTTTAAATAATTCTTTTTACTATATTTCGTGTGTGCATCGATGTTTTCGTGCGTTTTGATTTTTTTTTTTTTTGTCGCGCGGTGTAATAATTTTCCAGTAAGTTCAGCACATTGTGAATAAACCTATTATGTAAAAATATATTTTTAAGCTCATTAAGAAAAATCTGAAGAAATTTGTTTCATTACTTCCGCTGCTTGCAGAAGATGTACTTGGCCTTTGCTGTAAATTTTTTTAAAGAAATAAATGAGCCGTTTATTTTAAAAGTTGCCTAAGTATTTAATGCCATTTGACTTTAGTGATCATTTATTTACCTAAAGAAGTAACCAACTATTTAAGGACAAGAACTGGAATGCCACATTTGAAATAAACGGCCAAATATACGAGCACTTTTTTTTCCTGGGAGCTGTAATTTAATTTAAGAAATTTTGATGGAAGAAATTTTCTTTTCCATTTCTTACACGTCAGTTTATATGAATTTTTCGTTTTTTTTCCTGATAAATGTATACTATGCTTCAGTTACAATTCCAATATCCTTTCAGTAAACTCCACATAAGAACATATGTATTTTGTTGAGTTTGGAATTAATTTGAATAAATTTAGAACAAAATCTTCTAACACACCAGTTGTAGTATAAAATACTCAAATTTCCGATGTTTATTTCCCTTTCGGCTATGGTCATAAAGTCATTTCTACTACATAAGTGTTTACTTTAAGAAACAACTGTAACAAAATCAATTCAACAGAAATTTTCGAAAAACTATTCGTTACCGTTTAATTCGAATATGTATGTATGTATCACGCTACGAGCCAAGTAATGTAATGCCAAGTGCTTAGGGACTGAATTTTTTTAAGGTAGGTAACTATTTATTTTGTAAACCTATGCAAAAATTCTTTATTAGTTTTAAACATTTCTAAAGTTAACTGTACATATTAGCAACGAGTTCGTTGATAACTTTTAAATGGATTATCACTATTTATGTACATAGTTATCTATGTATTTATATCATATGTATATGTATGTATGTATATTTACAGTTTGTTTTTAATGTATGAAATATTTATAAATTTAACAAAATACAATGAAAATAAATTTTATAACTTAAAATCATATATGTATACTTCACCAGTCTTTTTTTAATTTACCTTAGTAAGGAGTTTTTTCCAGTTGCATACAGCTTAACCCTGAGCGGGTAATCTTCGTCGATTTGACAAGCACTGTTGCCCTTTTGCTTTGCAAGTATCCTATAAGACAAGTTTAGACATCAATCTTGTCGGTAGGTATCATATCAAAGAAAATACAAGTAGACTCTAGAGGTAGATGTCGCCTCTCGCCGGAAGTAGTTAAATATTGCGCCTAAAAATATGCACTACATACGCTACAGCGCGAATGCGTATGTTGAAAGAGAATATAACCCTTCTATTGTAAGAGAGTCACAAAACTCAGCGCATCACTATTCTGATTTCTACGAACAAATGGTGTTCGACCCAGGTGTTGAATTTGGTCTCGACGACCAGTTCAAAAACGCCCTATCTAAGAAAACTTTTCAAGAACGCCCTACTTCAGAATTTGATTCAAGAACTCCCTACTTCAGAATTTTATTAAAAACTCAAACGAAAATAGATTGAAAATGTGCTGCCATCGATATATTGTTTATAAATGAACTATATTTTTATAAATCATATGTCTTGAGTCATATATTTTTGGGAAAAATACACCGTAGTAATTTTAAAAATCCAAAATTACAATTCTCAACTGAAAAAAAAAATATTCGAGCTAACTCGACGGCACACAGTGTGCTTTTTTAACACTTCTTGCGAATTAATCGTATCGCTCTGAAAGCTAATATATTTGCCTTTCACGGAAAAATATCGCCATTGATATTAATATTATAGATTTTGAGACGAAAAACACGATTCCACTGTTTAAAAAACGAGAAAAAAATTCCGCCCTTCAATTTGAGGAATGCATTATATATTGCATTTTTTATGATTTGCATGCAACTGTGCATCTTTCACACAATTTTTATCCCTCGAACAACAAGTGAGTTTTAGTGCTATTCAAGAGCTTTAATTTAAGCCAAAGTAGAAGTCTCTAGGCCCTTTGAGAGCTAAATTATTACGATTCTCAAGTTAAACTTCGAAATTTCATTCGAAATTTTACGCAATTTTTTTGTTTTTTTTGTAATTTTGGAGTTAAAAACTAGTACAGCAGTTTCGAAGTTTGGTTTAAAACTGTTATAACTTGGCTATTAAATATTCCCAATGTATATAGTGGACCTTTTTATGAATTGTATTCGATTTTTGATCTTCGCTGGCTATCGACGATCGTATGTAAAATTCGCATTAAAATTTTCTGTCGAACAAAAAATGTATCTTAAACAATTTTTATAAACTTCATGGTTTCACTTATGGAAGAAAATCCCAATGCTCAGTTGGTACAATCATTGAGTGCAAGATCGCAGAACGATTGATAGTTTCAAAATATTTTAAATAGATTTGGCTCGTGTGCATTGCCACAAACGCCCCTTTAGAGTTTTTTTATAAATCTGTACACAAATTTCTTTAATAATATGTTGTCAAAATATATTCGCAGAGATACACTTATTTGCTCTCATTGGGTCTCAGATTTTCTCTGTCTGTCTTCAATGTCGCAGGCTGGAATATTTTTTTTTTTAATTCTGTAAACTTGTATAATCTTTCGATCACGGGTGCCGTGATTCCGGCCATGTGGAGAAATACTTGCCTTCTATTGGCATTAACATTTGGAGCAGTGAAGAGAAACTATGGGCGTTCTTTATTGGACTGCCAATCAAGAATAAGAAAATTTTCAGAAAATGAAAAAATTCCTTCAGTAAAATTACGATTCACTCAATTGATTGATTAAATAGACATACACATGTCTGTACATGATCTTTATTACGATTGTAACTAATACATATTTAGGTACGTATCTTAAATTTACACAATTTGAATGTCCACTTTGCAATGCAAATAATATTTACGAATTTACCAATTATGTAAAACTATTTCAGATATGTAAACAATCCTTACATATCTCAAATATTTACATTATAAAGGCTTTGTAAATGAATTAAGGTAGGTATTTATGTACATAGGTAAATACGTACACAGATATATTACGAAGCCGATCCTTATGCCAATCTGACTTTCAGACAGTTCGTCGTAAAATATTACGAAAAACATTAGATACATACGTACATGTGCTTAGATAAATGGTAACAAATGGTTTTAATATAAAAATACATATACATAAATAAAAAAAAAAACATGTTTAATACAAACTTCATTTCTAACAAAATCGTTTATAAATCGGAATACATTTTTTTTAATTCATATGCCTAATTATAAAACAGTTAAATATTTACACATTTCGTTGTTAATTTTTCTTTGAACTAAAATGATGAGTATAAAATTTGCAATCGTTCTAAAATTCGTAATTTCTTTAAATACATATATGTAGTTAAATATAACTTATGCTACTTAATAAGCCCTTTTGTGGCACCTTTATGTGAACCTATTTTTAGGCAGTTAAAATTTCATAAAATTCCATGAAAGATTTGAAGATAACATTTCATAAAAGTGGTTATACATTTCACATTTAAAAAACCATTCCCTAATATAAATATATACATACATAAAAACATATGCCAACCGAATCTCATGTTGGAAATGTCATAATAAGGGAATGTATAAAGTTTATTTTCTAACAAGCCTTTATGTTATATTACATACATACGTCTAAAGTTATTAAATCACAATTTAAAATAAAAATATGTATCTAGAGCAACAAGGAGTATTGCTTGGAAATATGAGACATTCTTTTTCATATCGGACACCAAATTTGGTGTCACACTTTCGATTGGCTTAAAATTTTTTTATGGGTTTTACATATACATGAAATAAGCTAACAAGTGTTCTAGGAATTTTTGTCTTCTTTTTTTCTTCGGAGATATGATCTCTGTCAAAGTTTGCATTTTTTCGTGATTCTGACTAATCGTGTACTTCTTCAAATCGTTATATCTCGGGTTCTGCTCATCGTAGAGACTTCATCTTAACCTCATTTTAAAGCTAAAGAAAGTAAAGAGCAGTAAATTAGGGATTATACCGTCGTAATCCTTGTTTAATTCTCTATAAAAAAAACGTAGTTCAAAAATATGGGCGTTTTTCAAGAACTATTTTTAAAATATTTTTCTTTATAACGAGATGGTTTATTTCGTGAGAATCAACAATTTTTTGTAATTTGTTTTCGTAAACTTATGTTGAGATATGATTAGTCGGAATCACGAAAAAATGCAAACTTTGAAAAGAAAAAAAATCCTCGAACACTTGTTAGCTTATTTCATGTATAGAACGCACAAAGCGAATCGGAGACATGATATAATTTTTTTACGAAATCCGTCCGACTTAAAAAAGAATGGCTCACATATGTTGTGATAAATACATATGTTTGTACATAGGGTGCATTCCAAAACGTCAAATTACAAAGCATCAGTCTCTTTCATTTCTAAACCTCATCAGATTGTGATGCAAAATGTGCGCAACCATGTTTAGATGCTAATTTTCAACTAGGTTGCGCAAGTTGGACCTTTTCTCCTAGTGCGGTTTAGAATTAAAAGAGACTGATGCTTTGTACTTTGACGTTTTGGAATACAGCCATACTTATGTACTATGTGAGACACACAAATGCATATTATATATGCATGGATGTATTTATTCTAGTATTTTCTCACACATGCACATAACATAACATAACTTTGTATCGCATGGAAAATTGCGGCTCCCCCAATTAAGAGTTCGTTTTTGATCGAATTATCGGAAATCATTTCAGCGCGAGTCACTTAACCGGGACATAATTTGATAATGAGTCTTTTGTAGATTTTTTAAGCAATTTACGTATTTTTTGATAGCTTAGTCATCATGGTAATGTGTTATAGACATATATCGTTTTTTTTTTGATATTTTTTGTTTTGTTTATCGAATGCATACTTTAATGTGTGACCACGTTCTACACACGTTATCAGCACAGCCGAAGACGTTTTGGTTTTCCCTTTTACGTATAGACGTTTACAGTTGCCTTCAGACATATACCATCGATCATTTTAGCAGTCTAATTATTATCGATATATACATATGTATATGTAAATATACCAACACAAAAATTTTAAGTGCTAGACAGTTTTACAAAAACAATAGTATTCATGCATAAATAAGACACGTCCACATATACATACATATCGTGGTGGAAATGTCAAAAGGTCCTAACAAAACAGTTTAAATTTTTTACAGGAGAAGTAAAAACGGTTACGTCAACAAATGCAATTCTGTGCCATTGCAAAAGCCAATTCGAAATTTTTATAGCAGTACTTTAAAGAATTAAATGAACAAAGAATATGTGAATCACACAAGAACGGATCTTTGAATTAACTTAAAATCTTTCATTTGTCAGAAAGCACTGAAACTTTTTCGAAGCACAGACTACGCTGTAATTTTTAGCAGCAAATGACCATAAAATTGTACACCACTTTTTGCTGGAATGTCTGTTAACATTAAATGTGGGAAATCAAAAAATATATCAATTTTGAGTTAATACACACTTGAAGAACGTCTGTGATACATAAAGAAGTACCAAAAGCTGGTCGCATTAATCTCAAAATTACTTTGGAAGCCTAGTGAACGAAAGCTATTAAAAAATAGATATATCGTTTACGTTGCTTTCTAACAATAAAATTTTGTTGATTCGCCCAATCATAGCCAATTAATTATAAGTACATATCGCTAGCTTTTTATGACAACGCGTATTTTGTTACAAAAAGGCTAGGGCAATTGAAAATACATCGTTTCGAAAAGGGAAGGGTACTTTCTTTATGTTTTCTTGCTTATATTCAATGAAAGGAAAATTTGCTAAGTCCAATAGAAGCTCCGAAAATTTGATGAGGTCAAAATACTACGAAACCTTTTGTGCAATTTCTTGTGCAAAATCGATTTAAAAACTGGAAAAGAGGGCTAGAAAAGTTTAAGAAACATCAGGGCGAAACGTACCATCAGAACGCTATGCAGGATGGACAAAATTTTAAGCTTATTGTTAAATTGTGTTTACTCGTTATATGGAAGTGAATTCGACAAAAAATAAAATCTAAACAATCAACGGTTGATAATTTTTAGCAATTTGAAACTTGCACATTATTAGACTAAAATTTAATGGGCTATAAAACGGTGTACTCGAAAATAGTCTAGCACTTCTGAGAAAAAAAATGGAAATTTGCGTGAAAATCTGTTGGTCTCTTAAAAAGTTTTAAACTTTGGTTTATATGAGTTTTGTTGGAGACCAAACTGTATTTTAATTAAAAATTCTTTAAAAAAATATTTAAACATAAGAGGCAAACAACATCACTTAGAAATGGGGGTGCTATAGACATGTCCAAAACTGTATGTGGTACTGTAATTTCATAATTTAATGACAATTCTCTTTTTAAATAGCTAAACTTTAAAAGGTGTACCAAGTTGTTTCTAGCTTATATTTTAAATAAAAAGCCTTGCATCTGCTAGGACCATGATATAAGACTGAGGCCTCTCTATTAAGTTTTCGGAAAAATTTCTCATCTTTTCATCAGTACAGGAAAACTCCCGTAATAACGACGCCTTTTTAGAATGAGCTCGTTCTGTTCTTAACGCAAATGTATCACACTGACAACTGAGTACGGATTTGTTTGAAGAGTTTAAATCTTATTATAACCCGTAATTTGGCGCAATCATTGTATGTTGAGCATGTAATAGTACTACAGCAAAAGCAATAAAATTATAGTTTAAAAAACTAAAACCTCGCTATTATAATTTCCATTCGTACTGTCATCAGGTATGTAACTTGAGAATAGAAATCGCGGCATCTTTTAGGCGCATCAATATAACATAGTTACATCCCGAGCTAATAAAAGGGAGGTAAAAAATTGCATTATTGTTGTTATTGTAATTTCACTCAGAAAAGGCTGGACGGATTTACATGAACGGCTTTTAAAGTGAGTTGCCACCTGTTTAATTAAAAAGTTAAATTCAGTTTTGGCACTTTGGCGCACTGCGGGTTTACTGCGTAACCATCCTTAATGTCCCGTTTACATTATGCCAGTGGCATGCCAGTCCAGTGAGCCTGGCCAGCGCTGGATTGGAATGTCGACTAAATGAAAGTACGATGTTCTTAAACTAAAGGCAAACGCAGTAAAAATGTTTTAGGCGGACTCAATTGAAACAATCTCAATTTACTTCCATAAATCATTTCACTGTATAAGGTTCTACGAGCACGGCATACCAGTAGATTGGCATGGGAGCACTGTAACGAAAAGTAGACCGACAACCAGTTACTAGCATGAACCTTTTACTAAAATCAGTTCAAAGCAGTACCTGTTATTATACCGGTACCTTGAATGGTTCACTGGACTCGCATGCTACTGGCATAATGTAAACGGGCCATAACAATCAATATTTGAGCTTATAAAATCTCCAACCTTAAATTTGAACATCCATCGTCTTTATCACAACATAATATTATTTATGGAATAGTTGCTCCAAATTCACAAGCCATAAAATAAAACTGTAGATTCCATACTTATATAAAATTAAGCATTAAATCACATTGCACAAGGCAAAAGAAAAGTAAATAAAACATCATTGCATTCTAGTAAATCGAATATGGTACGATACATAATACATGTAAATATGTAAGTAAACAAATTTTATACATGCCTATATTTTAAACCAATAAATTAACTATTATACATTTATTTTCGTGTCATTGCTGGCCAATTAGACGCACAAATTGCTTCTTTTTTTTTTGAGTACCTAGTATGGTGATCTCAGTCTTTAGTTATATCAATTAGTGCTTTTTTACTTAAATCCGATAGGCTGGGTTTACTTTGATGCTTCTAGAATATTGAATCTATGTATATGTATAACACTGCATTTAATTAAATTAGCCTAAAACAGTATTTGAGCTTTCTACATACATACATACATAGTTAGATACAAATATGGTATTTGATACACTTAAAATTAATTGGTAAAATGTGTGCTTACTTTTAACTGAGAGCACACACAGTTTTTGTACACATTATACATTTTTATAAAAAAAAACAAAAGGACATTGCGTATCACTACCCCGAGAAATGTAAAACAAACAACTCAAAAATCTTCACCTTCCGAGTTAACCACACATAATGTCCGCACGTCGTACAATAAATGCAACAATTATGGCAACAAGCATAAATATCTGGCTGCGAGGCATCACCATACACGCCGCACATGTTAACGTATCCCGCGGATATTTATTAGCAGGCGGCGCCTCTTCGCGCATACGACACTTCTCTTCCCGCTCGGCAAAATATTCACCACAAATTTCATGGCATGGTGGACAAATTATTGCGCCGCGATGCAACCAGTCATTTGCATTCACACGTATTGATAACGTCTGACCAGGATAGTAACAAGTGTAGGTGTAATTGGCCACCAGTATATGAAGGCGACCATCGGTACAATTGTACTTGTAGCAACCTGAACCCCAGTGCTGCCATTCACGCGTCTGATGACATGAACGCTCTTCCCACATAAAGTCACTGTGATCAAAGCACTTCGAGCCGATGCCGTAGCTCTCCAAAGCGAAATTCTTTTCAGGTTCTAAAATTTTAATGTATGCAAATGTAATTTAGTTGGACGTTAGTTAAAACGGTAGAAATGGAAATCTATATATATATATATAGCTTATCAATACTTACTCGGATTATTCTCGACAAATCGACAATGTGAGCCGCGCACAATTACATTTTTACTGCGCCACGTAAACTCTTGAATGTAGGGGCAGTGATCTGCCAATGATACGGATCCACCATAATAGCCTTCTTCGCCGCTTTTGACATGATTTATGCTGTCGAAATTCTTTAGAATTGCAAATAGATGAATGCATGACAAATTAGTTGCCATTTAATTTTTGATGTATGCAAATGCAAATTACCTGATATTTCTTTGGCAACTCGTAATCATGCCGTATTAAATTGCACAGCGCCACCGAATTGCGATCATCTGTGCATTCAGTTTGTAAGGGATCTTGCTTTACTTTTGAACAAAACGGATGAATTGAACGACCTCTGCAATAAATAGGTAATTATCTTATGAGCTCATATTGTATGAGAATTAAATTAGATTTAATTTCCCGCATACCGCAGCCAATTCTCGCGTTCATTGCTCGTACTATAGTTTGCATTATGGAAAGAATAGTGAGGTAGTTTATTCAATTAGAATCGCTTACATGAAATAGGCACTTTAAATTGAGCAACGAATGGATGATGATTAATGAACGACGATGAAAACACAAAGGGTTAGCTCGATTTCACTATGCAAGCAGACGTTAGGATTTCTTTAAGTTTTACAATGCGTTTATTATTCATTTTATTAGTGATTCTCAGATTTATAATTATAATTTTTTTTATTTTTTTTTATTTCTGACTTAAACGTTCTTCACGTTATAACTTAATTGCGAGCTCAACTATTTGCAATTTGTGGTCTGCGTTCTGATGTTAAAACACAAATGGAGGGAACTACAATTTTAGGCCGCCTTCGAACGACAATACTTTGAATTAGAAGCTTTTTCATAACAGAATTACAGTCTGCGCTTTGCCATTGCTTGCCGAGGGGCTCATATTTCAGTGACACCCTAGGCAGAGCATACTTAAATTCCAATCGTCGGACATGTGTTCCTAAATTCCAATTGTCGAACATGTATTCATCCGCTCATGCATTTTATCTTAATTGATGTGTAAACAGCTTAGCTCTCGGTATATGTAAATCTTGCGTTAGCCCAGCAGAAAATCTGTAATTGCTTCTTGTGTGTCCAAATGAACACTTCTGAACTATGTCAAGATCATTTCGGACACAATCCCCGGAACTTTTTCGGGACAATTTAGGGATTTGTTCGAAATCATTTCGGGACTAATTCACGACTATTTGAGGACTATATTGTGACTAGTTCTGGGCCGTTTCGAGACCAGTTCTGGACTATTTCAGCAATATTTTCATTTTGAGATTAATAGATAAGGGACCATACTAAGACTTGTTTTGAGATCACATCGGGACCTTTTCTAGGGTATTCCGGGTCAGTAATACTCACAGAAGTTAGCAATAGTTCGAATATTTATTTAAAAAGTATAACGATGTTCGCTTCTCAAATCCTTGATAACATGTAAAATAATTTACAATTTCGAAACATAATTTTATTTATTCAATGCCTACTCGATCGCTGTCGTTTCCGAAACCACTACATCTCCACAGGGACCATTTCGGGAGCTATTTTATGACCATTTCGGGACTAGTTTACGACTATTTCAGGCATATTTTCAGCAACATTTCGACAGTAGTTCAGGATCGTTTTGGGACTAGTACGAGACTATTTCGCGACCATTTCAAGACTTGCGGGAGATCCTTTCGGGAGAAGTTCTAGACTTTTTATAACCACTTCAGGATAATTTAGAGACTAGTTCGTAACTTGTAACGAAATGATCCTGAAATAGTCCTAATGCTTTGCCAAGCCGTACTCAGGCGTTTCAAATTTCATGAGTACCTGGTACTCACACCTTTTTCGTTCTTCTGGACCTCGTCCATCAGTTCGTATGTATGTCTTCGGATTTGTCTAGGCGAGGGCTCTGCCGCAAGCAGATGTCTGTTACGTCTCCGGTACTCTACTAGGAACTGCTTGCACAGCATGGTGCTATGATTCTTAACGGGGAGCATTTAGGCCTCGTCATGTAGGTGGTGTTTTGGCGATATCAGAAGTCATCCCATGACGGTCCAGAGTTCCGTGTTTTGGCAAGTCTGTAGCTGCATCCACTGCGTCCTGCTGGTCCCCGACGGCCACACGGGCGCTGCATATTTTACGTTGTAAAAAACGTTGCCTTGTCTTCGTCCCAGGTACTGCCTGCTAGCGACTTAAGGACCTTGTTGCGGCTCTGAACTCTATTGACAATTGCGGTTGTGTGTGCTGAGAAAAGCAGACTGTTGAAGGTAACTCCGAGGGCTGTTCACAGTTGGAATAGGTTCGACGTCGACGTGAACTCCCAGCTGTAGTCTGACCTCTTTCGCTCAGGTGGTAAAAATGATTACCGAGGATTTCGTGGGGGATAGTCTTAGGCTCCTTGTAGTGCGTTTTATTGCGAGCAAAACTCATCACTCCGAACCACACTGTGGAACCCCCTGTTCAATTCTTCTGGGTTTCGAAGTTTATCGCTGATGATGATTGACGAACGACGACCACTCAGAAAATTCGTTGACTTCCGTTTGAGACCGGAACCTGTCGGAGAGCGGAACCCTCAATGTCTTTTAGTAGCGTAGAGTGGCAGACAGTGTCAAGCGCCTTTGACCAATCCAACGCTACATCGATTCCGTCACCTTTGAGTGGCGAGTCCTTTACTCGCGTCAGTACTATTTAGCAGGGTGAAGAAGTGTTACCTCCATAATTTAAGCATACTCTGGGCATGTCTACTATCGAAGCATGCTTCAAATCAAGCCTTAAACAAGCCTTAAAGGACACCACCATTCCGTTTATGCGAAGCCTTATGAATACTTTCTAATCCAAGTAGTTCTAGTGCAACAACAAAACCAAATTAACTCTAGCATTCCTTTAATCCTATTATTAATTTTAAAATTATTATTGAGCTTTGTGCCACGATTATGTTTATTAGGAAAAATGGTAAAAGCAACAAAGTCTAAGCGGTAGAAGTTATATCTCCACATCAGACTTCTGACTTTGCATATCGATGATACGGGTTCAATCCCCGTTGAAGTCTAGAAAAAGAAGCCTGATGAGTAGATGTGGTGATCTCCGAAATTGCAGCTATAATTTCTACCGCTTAGACCTTCTTGCTTTTCGCATTTTTCCAAATAATTATAATCGTGGTACAAAGCTCGATAATAATATTAAATAAAATGTTAATAAGCCGCAATAAAATTTACAAAGCTTTTATTACGTTTCACCAGTGTGTAATCAAATCTTGAAATAAATGTTTAACCAACTTCCCAATGAGTTAAGAGATTCGAGCACATAACCCGATGACAATGCAATATGAAAGATGAATTAATCCGCTAGGTGGCCCAGCTGTCGAGAAATTTTAAATGCCCGTATTTATGGTACCATATGGTTCGTATTTTGAATGTATATTACCTACATAAAAATAACTCCACAAAAATTGTGTCCGATAGGTGGCGAAGGAAGCGAGAGATATTTGGAAAATCCGTACTTATGGACCGATTTGTTTTATTTTTGGAACATACATATATTACTTAAATGGGAAGAAATGACTAGACCAAAAATTTTGTCTTTAGATGGTGCTGGGTCAATTTTTTTTTTTTTTTTATTAACAACTAGTAAAAGCTTGTCTTTGAAAACTGCTTTTTAAAGTTGCTTGTTTAATATTATTTTTTTTTTCATATGCTTGCTAATAAAATGCATTTCAATGCCAACATTAATGTGATCAGCTCATCACCATCCAAACGCTCATGTACCATAAAGAAAATATGTGTATATGTATTTCCCAATAATAGTCAACTAACCTTCCATTATTAGCTTGAATCCAATCCTTACAACTTTGCATAACAAAATTGCAACCAAGACCTTTTCCCCATGAAAGCGGCGCCGCCATGCTGTAATTGGCACGATACCAACCGGAATCTTCCATTAATGCTAAAGTAATACGTGAAAATACTGGCGATTGCGTATGTGTTCCTGTCATTGCCTCATTCTATGTAAACAGAATTAAAAATACGAGTACTCTTAAAAAATAAAACAAGCACAGTTTTGCTAGAAAATACCTCTAAAATGCGCTTTTCCCAGTGAGTCAATGCTGTGCCTTCACCTCCTTGGTCTTCCAACTCCGCACCCTCAAGCTTTGGGCAATTAAAGTGTTTGCGAACTTCGGCCACGACACGCGGTGTCACCATCATATCCAACGTCTTGCGAACATGACCACCACGTACTGACCAATTTTCACGTACCACTGTTCTTATTGTCTCGTTGCTCCACTGGTGAATTTGCAGTCTTCAATGAAGAAAATTTGTGAAAAGTTGTTGCTAAAAGAAGACCATAAACTTACTTTTCATTTAAATAAGGCTTTCCAGTATCGGGCTTGCGTGGCGTTCTGGGTCGGCCTTCATCGTCACGAAAGAACGCATAGAGACTAACTGAAAACCCAAGCGCATGCAGAATTTCGTGCTTCACTGTCGACAATAAAGTCTGTAGTTCCTGCGGCTTTGTGCTTATACTCTCTGGACACAGATTGGCATGTCCCGCAATGGGGCGGTCTAAATGGGCTTCTTGTTGACAATGTGCTGCATAAGCAACCGTTAGACCCTTGTGACAGCGCTCTGTTTGCCGTGCTGACACATAAAATATAAAGTCTGCATTTTCAATGCCATCACCTGCTTGTGTAGACTCGTCAATTCGGCAATTTTGTCCGGTGGCGTTGCATACGCGACAAACCTGTGGAATGTGAGAAGCTTACAATAAGTACTATTATAAAAAAAATAAGCATATTGCAAGTTTTTGAAGAACAACTTAAGTTTATCTTTTACGGAAAAACAAAATAGCATGTGTTGGAAAAGCTCGTTTTACCGTCAGAGCAATAAATTCTACTTAAAAGAAAACGTTGTTATTGAAAACTGAAACATTTTAAAATGTTGTGAATAGCGATAAAATAATTTAATATTTCTTTCTATATATGTATGTACAAAATTTATCTTTCTGAAGGTGAAATATGTTTTGTCGATTTATGCTATTTTGTTTGTGTCTGGAAGATAGACTTAAGTTGTTCTTTCAAATGTCCACAGATATGTATGTATCAGAGTTGTGAAACATGCATTAATTTTTTAATGCATTAATGGTATTTAAAGCAATAATGTTAATGTAAAAAATTAATGCATTAATTTATGAAATTAAATTAAATGAATATTTCAATGTATTAATTCTGAAAAATGTAATGCTAATGAAGTGTTCTTCATTAAATTAAAAAAAAAAATAAAAAAATTTAATACACTAAAATGTTTAATACTTTTGCTCGTTTGCATTATTAAAAACCAAAAAAAAATTTTCTAGTGAAATATAAATAACCACTTTTGGAAGGACTTGGAATAGTTACCAATAGTTTTTTCAGCTTCATTATACTATGTGTATTTGTAGAAAAATTCTTCTAAACATTGATGCATACCGATTAAATATATTATAAGCCAAAAACGGGCAGATAGCCAATTTAGCAGCGCATGTACACGACTGAGGACCTACTCTCATCTAAATCAATCAATAAACCGTTTTTTAGTTCCATTTGACAATGTGCCTTTACCTATTTACCGACAAATGCCATTGAACTTGACATAGTGGAAGCCAACCTTAACGTTCGTCACTATCTTTTTTGACCTTCAAATTCTAATTTTTAATGCTTGTTATAATTTTAATGCAATAAATTATTGCAATAGCATTCATTTAAACATTTTTATGTTAATACAAAAAAAAATAATCATTAACATTATTTCTTCGGAATTAATGCACTGAAATTTTCATTTACATTAGATATCAAAAATTAATGCATTAATTTTTTCCATTTACATTAAAATGCTATGCACTGAAAAATTGAATGCATTTTTCACAACTATGGTAAATTTGTATGAACATATGCATTTCATTAATTCAAAATTGTGAATAAGGCTGTTGTTAATATACACATGGTCGTTTAAAGTACAAAACCGCCTATCAGCAAAATGCAAAACCGCGTATGTGAAGCTGTAGAAATTATTTTCTAGAGAGTAAAAACACTCCTATTTCAAAATGGTTCTCTTTTCTATAAAGCAATCGCATTTCTGGCAAGTATATTTCAGGATGAATGGATAAGGATTGAGCCAATTTTTGGTAGCAAATGTCAGTTACGCGGTTTTGCAGAATGACGATACGCGGTTTTGTCCTTTAAACGACGATATGTAATCTTATAAGCTTAGTGTTATATTTTATGTTTTTTCCATCTTTATCCCTACCTCTACCCTTTTCGTTCTAATATCGAGAAAAATATCGATAAGTATCGATAAGGGAACCAATAAAATATCGATAACAAAAACTATAAAAAATATTGAAAACAAAAACTACAAACATATCGATAACAAAAATTATAAAATCTCGATAAAAAAAAATCTATAAAATATCGATAGCATAATCGGTTATTTTATCGATAACAGTATCGATTTTTATGTTAACAACAATATCAATAAATATGTTCATCAATAACAATATCGATAAATATGTATATCAATGACAATATCGATAAATATGTTCATAAGAGTATCAATATCAATATGCTTTTTTATATCAATAAAAATATCGATTATTACATCGAAAAAATATCCATATATATATATATATATATATATATATATAGATAGCAAAATCGATTATGTAGATAACAATATTGATAAGTATATCGAAAACAATATCTATATATACAATGAAAATTCCGAATCTCGAAATAGTCCCGAGAATCCGGAAAATCTCATTACTTTTGTACTAATCTTTCTTCCTCTATGTCTATCGTCATCCTTATCATTTTCTTAATATTTACTTTTATTTTTAGCTTTCATCTTTTATATTTCGGGGCCTTTCGCGATTTTTCAAAGCCGTTAACTTTTTTTTTTAATTTCCCAAGTTTTACTTTTCGAATTGTTTTCGTACCATTTCGGTTTCAGATTTTTGGGGACGGTTTGGGATTTTTACATCCAAAAGTAAAATTTAATCATAACATTGCTTATAATGAATGCCTAACAATTAAAATGCAAAAATACCAGTTAATTTCTGCTCAAAAAAGTATCTTGCGAAACTTTACCTTAAAAAATACAAATTTTAATGAAATGTTTTCTTTTTTGGTTTGCAGCCCTGCTCAGGAGTACAACTAACAAAATCACTCGAATAGTACATTTTAATCAAATGAAACTATTAAACTGCCCGCGGCTGTAGTTCAAATAATAGTGCATTTACACAAAATACTCACATCTAAATGTTCCTTTGGCACTTCAACTTCTCCGCACATTGTCACCTTTTTACAGTTATCGATGCAATGCGTCAGTCCATTTTTCACAAACACTTGCGTACTGTTACATTTTCTATGGGAATCAAATATTTTAAGAGGAAATTAATACATATTTTTTATGCGCTTTCCGTTGTTAAGTCGGTTATAGTAACACCAACCTGTTAAGCCTAATTACACCCTTTGTTTCGCGCACCATTAGCGCTTGTTCCCAAAACTGTACAGCCTCTGGTAATACTGTGTTCTGTAAGTTGAATGAAGGCATAATTAAAAATAATAATAATAATAACAAGAAAAGCATGCAATATACTTACGTTGATCAACTCGAACTTATCTTCATCTAATCTGTTAAAAGAGAGAAAAAAAATACAGTGAAATAGATTGAACCAACGATTTTGTTTCGAAACTGGCAAGTAAATTATTTAATAAATGCATAAATATTTAAGATGTTTATTAGGGTGGGCCTTAAAATCAAATGAAGGATTTATTTATTTCAGTCTCACCCCCTCAATCGGTAATACCACGGTCACAGATATCGCATATAAATTTTGATCCCGATTGGAGTCGGTTATGTCGTCTTCATAGGGTGTTCTGAACTTTGACCCCTTTGCGACTCGCCTCAACCGTCTCCAATTGGGACCAAAATTTATATGTGTTATCTTCGATTACAGTAGCATCGACGTATGGGTTAACGCTTAGGAAATCGGATGTAAAAATTTGCTTCTTACATGTAAGGGCCACCCTATTGTTCACATATAAACAATCAGCAGCTAAAATAAGAATGTAAGTATGTATGACCCAGAAGAAAAACCATTTCACTGTGCGGCTTTTAATGAAATTACGGGCTTGTAACTTCCACGAAAAGCGAAATACACATAGAAAAAAAATTTAGAAAAAGTAAGTTCGGCTTAGTTAATTTTTTTTTTGTTCGGTCCGTTTAAGTGACCTAGTACAGGTCGTAGGCCTGGCCGAGTAATTCAGGAAACTGTTTTCAAATTTTTATAACACCCTTAAATTCTCAACTTTTTCTTAAAAAAATATTTTCGCATGACTCCCGCCACTAAAAGAATATATGGAAAACTTATGGATTAAATCTGAAGTTTACAACAATTTTTATTATTTCTTCCACTTCTACAACATTTTTTGACAAAATTTCAAACAAAACCTGTATAGTCAATACTTCGAAAAGAATGTTTAATTCCGAGTAAAAGTAGGTACCATTCGTTAAAATCAACCAACAAATTATTAAAATATGAAATTTTTTATAGAGTTAAATTTGATGGCATATTCGGATTTAGCGGTTACAGTATTCCGGTCAAATTTGTCGATCACATACCTACATATAAATGGCAGTCGATGTGTTTAAAAAGAAATAAAATTTTTAATAGGTAGTCGAGAAAGCGGCCGCAAGAGTTCAATTGTATGTATTTATATACACACATACATATGTCTACACGTACTTAAAAATATGCAGACATAAACAATTATAAGATTAACTATAGTTGCATAATATTTATTTTGATCGTAATAATTGTCGAATAATTTGTTTTTATCACTTGCTTAGCACAAACGGTAGTTTGTATCATCCAAATATGGCGCAACATGTAGGTTGTATACATATTTGTATGTAGTACAGAAGTAGGTATGTGCATTAGGGTGGTCCAAAAACAGTAAAGTCGAAATTGTAATGCTCACACCCCCCTAGGATTGTTTCATATCGAAAAAAGTATATTCCTATTTTATTATTTTGAAATCAAAAAAGTTTTCCATGTATTTTTATATGGGAAAAAACTACTCTTCATAGAAATGGTATAGAATTCTTTGAAATCAATATTTTTCGATCGGATCTGGTTATCTTCAGAAAACTTTCAATAATAATACCCAATTGTTTATTTAATCACTTTTTAATACTAACGATTTTTTATTTATAGCCCCATTGCATTTTTCGGGGTTTTTTTGTGGGTTTTTGGCGGACCTATAAAGTATAGTTGCGATGAAAAAATAGTTAAATAAACAATTGGGTATTATTACTGGGAATCTACTGCAAATAAACAGAGTTTTCCGACAGAAAAATATTGACTTTTAGGAATTCTATATCATTTCTACGAAAAGTTGTTTTTCCCCATATAAAATACACGGAAAACTTTGGGTGCTTTGAGCGACCACTAACTATTTTTTGATTTCAAAATAAAAAAATAGGGGTCTACTTTTTTTCGATATAGAACAATTCTAGGGGGTGAGAGCATTACAATTCCGACTTTACTTTTTCACATGCATTTTTGGACCACCCTAATGTGTATAGATACAAAGCTTCAATTTAAAAGCACGGCTGTGCCTTTTCTTTGACAGTTTGCCTACACATTTGTCCACTTAAGCAATTATTTAGCTTGTAAGTGGGATAATTTAATATCTTTTTGCCTACATCTAGTATTTGTCATTTTTGCACTCTGCAAGACTCATTTGTGATTTTTATGAATTAAGAAAATTGTTGCAAATCTCTGTACTGTAAGGATACTTTGCTATCTGTATTCGAGACTACATATGTAAGTAAGGTTTTTCGAAAGGGATTCGATCAGTTAGAATCGACGGCAAGTTAATGTTTAATTGAATAAATGTAGATATGTATGTATGTATGTAGGTATGTAGGCAGCGCAACAACTAAATGGTAGAAAGAGTAGGTATGTATACACTTTTTTGACGAGAGTCAAATGCGATGAAAAATTTGCTCACGAAAAACCATCTGTGTGATGGTGGTGGAAGGCGGAAAGCTGCAAGCCCATCAAGACGAACATCAAAGTTGAAATCTTGTCACATTTTCGAAAATATGTATATTCTAGGCGTAATTAATCTGATTAGCGCTGTGGAATGACGTTTGTGCACTGTTATCAAGTTACAAATGTACAAATCGATCATAAAAATGTAAAAAAAAACAAATGTGAATATATGTACATTAGGGCGGGTCAAATTTTTCGCATCAAAGGCACATTGCGATTATGATTCTTTGGGCTATTTCAAGCATTTTTGCCCAAGAAACCATAGGTCTAAAATGCGATTTTTTCTACCTAGTTTTTTTTCCAAAAAGTGGCTCACCTGTTGAAACAGCAACAATATTGTCGATTTTCTGAAAAAAAGCGTTTAAATACAAAAAAAAAGTACGGAAGCGCCCCCTGGCGGCCCTCAAAAGAAAAAATTTATTTTATTTTTTTAATCATTATTTTTTTAAGAGCCTATGTACATATATCCATAGAGTAAAACTGTTGACTCGCAGAATTAAACTATATATGTACAATAAAGCCAACTTTTAGCCCGGCTCATTTCATTAAGTAAACCTTACTACTAAATATAAATGGACCTCCCTAATACACAGCTCAATAGTAATCGTAATTATCAAGGGCAACCAGCGTTATTGCGGCAGCATTGCTGCGAAAACCTGTTCAACTACGCAAATTGGTAAATTAAGTTTGCAGAAAATTAGCAATTTAATGAAACTCGCTCGCATTTTTACAAATCGTATATATGTATGTACATATATATAAAGAAATTATGCATGAACATGAACAATTGCTCCTATGATGCTGGAAGTAAGTTATCTTAGTTTGCGGGAAGCGAAAAACGAAGTAGACTAGTTAACTGTATCTACATAAACATTGTGAATTATAATTTATGTACAATTGCAATAGCAAAATAAGGAAATAATTAAAAGTACATAAAACATTTTAGTATATGTAGTAAGTAATACTATATATGTATAAGTAGATACATATATAAATATCTAAATATAAAATGCAACGAATAAACTTCCAACTATTTACTTAAGTACGTATCTCTATTTAGAATCAACGACGATAAAGTTGCTCTTTATTGCGAAATTATACTAAGTAGCGATTTTTATGCAACGTGTATATATATTTAAAATGTATACATATACGAAGGCTCTAATGATGACGTACAAAATAAATAGGTTAGGTTAGATTAGGCTAAACGGGCAGCTTTGGGTAGAGTTCACTCGGAGGCCACGAAGGCCCATTGCGATGCCCATGGGGGGTTGCCCCAAGCCTATCCCTGCATGTCCTTGAACCATTTTGATTTTCTAGCGCGAATTCAAGCAATTCTTCCAGAGAAGCTTTCCCCAAGGTATCCAGTTTCTCGAAGTAACTTGAGGCGTTTTCCTCGGAGTGCTGGATACTCGTAAAGTTAGTGCTGGACGGATTCTATCTCCTCCTCATCCCTGCAGCTTCTACAGAAATTGTTATGCGAGACTTCGAACCTGGCGGATATGTGGCCAATTGTCCAGGGACCCGTGAGTATTCCAGTTAGAAGCCTAACATTTGGCTTTAAAAGCCTTAATATACACCTTAATAATACCATGCAGGTGTGCAGACTTTCCCACCTACTGTTAGTGGCTGCCCTAATCAGTCTCTCCGCTTTTGAAGACCAAAAACGCAGGGTACGTTTCACGATCTGGATCGCTTCCCCTAGCCCCATCTCAGATCCCCTTCTAGCACACTCGTCCGCATTCTCATTTCCCAGGACACCACAATGCCCCGGGACATGTAGGGCATGTAGGGATCTTCGGCATTATTTAACACATAACGTAGTCGTTGACGACCCTAAGGCTTTGATAGCCGCCTGACTGTCTACAACGAAGGCAAGTTTAGATGCAGCTAGGTCCTGCTCATCAACCTTGGCGCCATGTGGCTTGCATATATCTCAGCCTGAAAAACACTGAAGTGATCTGGGAGTCTATAGGACTGCTGAGAGAAGACACCTGGATCCTGATCCTATATTCATTTTGGAGCCGTCCGTGAAAATGGGCATTTCGTCATCGCTGAGAGCAATACTAAATTCCCAGTCACTACTGTCGGGAAAATGGATATCGAAATTTCGATTGAAGTCATTTTCCGTGACTTGATAGTGACAGTTGCTCTCTCGAGGATTGTGGCGTGACCCTTGCAAGTTGTAGACGCACTGAGTCGTAGAGCGCTTTTAGCTGTTGTCTTTTTAACGTATAGGTCTATTGGTGAAATGTTTAGGAGGGTCACTAGAGCCACCTGGGGCGTTGAGTAAATTGCCCCCGTTGTGCATAGACATGCTTGGCGTTGCACATTTTGCAGATTGAGTAGATGAGATTTGGTGTCAACTGCCTGCCACCATACCAGCGCGCCATAGGTGAGAATACGTCTAACTATCACCGTATAAATCCAGTGTGTTATCTGCGGTCGCAGCCTCCAGTCTTTTCCAATCGTAGCTTTGCAGGAGTAGAGCGCATTGAGTGCCGTTTTTCTCCGCTCTTCGATGCTCCATCTCCAAGAAAGCTTAGAGTTGAGAATAACGCCCAAAAACTTTCCTTCTTTTGCCAATTCAAGATTTGCTCCATTGAAGGCCGGAGCTCGAAATGTGTCTATTTTATATAGCTTGGTGAAAAGAACCAAATCAGTTTTAGTGGATTAGTCCTACAGCCACCATGGGGCAGTGTATGGATGCCAAATTAACATTGTTGAAGGCGCCTTCCACGTCCAAGAAGGCTGCCGGCGGAGAAGTAAGCCAGAAAGTTACGCTCACTCTAGCAATTGCCATACTAGGTCCTCTTCTGCCAATTCAACAACATTATCTAGGACCGTTGTAACCATATTGGATATTTCTAATTTCTGTCCAACAGGGCGGGGTAACTCCGCACTAACCGGAATTATCGAGCTGACTCACAAAATGTGCCGCATACTCAGACTCATTTTTAAAAAAGATGTGATTCAGTAACTCAATAAATATTCGCCACATAGTCGGCACTCAGTGTAAAGAATAAAAATAAAGATGAGAAAATAGCGAAGCAAGTGAATAGTTTTCAAAGTTTACTTGTCGCTCATCAGCTTTACAGCGCTAATCAGCTCTACAGCAGCGTTGCTGAATTGACGATTTCGACGTCATTTTGACGTTTTTGTAGCTCAATAATGTTTTGGCGAATGTAGAGACACGAATTTCGATACGATACGATACCATATCGATACTTTTGGCATTTAATAATCAATTTAATAAGATAATCACCCTCATTGCGAGAGTCGTGTAGAATGCAAGTCGTTTTTCGAGGGTCGAATCATATCGATAATTTAATTTAAAAAACTTGGCAGCTCTGTGTAGTTTCCGACGCTTTTCGTCGTTTACTTATTTCGGCACGACGATAGACAATGCCAATGTTGTCGAGTCGTACAATTCAACCTAATTTACGACTTACGCAATGAGGCTGCATCTGACTGACAATTCTTCCCGATATAAATTGGGCTTTAAAGAAGAGAAATTTGTACTATAGTTTAGATTGTATGAAGCGGGATTTGAACCCACGGCCTCGGTGTTTTAAGTCAACATCTCTACATGTAAACATAACAATAGATTAGCGTTTACACAATATGTTAGTATTTGGCCGAGCTTCTCCTCCCATTTGTCGCGTGGCCTTGGTGTTGTGCCATAAAGGGGGTCCCTACTGGTTTACGCCGACTCTAAACGGTGATTGTATTTTCTTATGAGAAGCTTTTTTTCTTGGCAGAAATACACTCGGAGGTTTGCACACTTCTAGTCACTACACCACAGCGGCCTACATACGACACCAATGTTGAGAAATTTTTTTGGATTTTGGCATCGATATTTGGGATACCGAGTCTTTTTATTCCGATATTAATGGGTACCCGATATTTTTACAGCGATGCTTTAAATGAGTACCATCATATCGATACTTTCCGTTCGATATCGTGTCCCTAGGCGAATGTCCCCCCGAAATGACATTTATTTAAATTAGTTTTATCGCTTAATTACATACAGTGGCCGAACAAGTTATAGTCGCACCACATTTTGACAAGCTTTAACATATTATTTTTCTGTTATTTAACTTTGGTTTAGATTTCTTTGAAAGATTCTGAGTATGCAGTGTTGCAGCCCCTAATCGTAACATCTGCGGCAAATAAAAATTCTAAAAAATCAACGGTAATTTCTAGTCATTTGAAACTTTATTTCACTAGAATTCAATGGGCATAATCAGAATTGTTCCTTGAAAATAAGTAACATTATTTGGAATTTTGGATAATGGGCGTGATACCGCCCACTTATGACCATATAAGTTTATCTCATTATATCTAACTGAACGTTCTATCGAAAATGTTTAAAATACCGATAGTTTTCGGAAAGGTGATAAACATATATTCAATACTTCGGCTCTGCCCGAACTAAGACTTTTTTACATATTTTTATACCCGAGCGCACTTGTGCACAAGGGTATATTAATTTTGTTCACATAACGGTTGTTTGTAACACCCAAAACGAATCGAGATAGATATAGACAAATGTATACATAAATGATCAGGATGAAAAAAGAAATCGATTAAGCCATGTCTGTCTGTCTGTCTGTCCGTCTGTCCGTCCGTCTGTCCGTCTGTCCGTCCGTCCGTGTACACGATAACTCGAGCAAAAATTGAGATATCTCAACGAAATTTGGTATGTAGGTTTCCGTTAATCCAAGGTAGGTTGGTATTGAAAATGGGCAAAATCGGACTGTAACCACGCCCACTTCTCATATAACGGTAATTTCCAGATATTTTAGTAACTACTGAAGATAATTCACTCAAAATTGATATTTCCAATAATTTTCAGACGAAAAATAAGAATATTATAAATTTTTGGAAAATGGGCGTAGCCACGCCCACTTATGGTATGTGTATATCTTGGTAACCGCTGCACCAATTTCTTCCAAACTTGGCACAGTTGTTGACCTTGGTACACCATACCAAATGACCGAAAATTTTTAAAATCGGACAATAACCACGCCCACATCCCATATAACGGCAATTTTCGGAAATACGAAAACTGCGATATTTTAGTAACTACTGAAGATTATTCACTTAAAATTGATATTTACAACAATTTTTAGACGAAAAATAAGAATATTATAAATTTTTGGAAAATGGGCGTAGCCACGCCCACTTATGGTTACATGTGTATATCTTGGTAACCGCTGCACGAATTTCTTCCAAACTTGGCACAGTTGTTGACCTTGGTACACCATACCAAATGACCGAAAATCTTTTAATTCGGACAATAACCACGCCCACATCCCATATAACGGTAATTTAGAGAAATACAAAATCTTCGATAAATCAGTAAACATTGAAGCTAATTTATTCAAAATTGACGCTTGCAAAAATTCTTTACCAAGAAATACTTTTATGGTACAATTTTGGAAAATGGGCGGGGCAACGCGGTAACCGTTCTACCAATTTGTACCAAACTCGGTGTGGTTATTGTGCTTGCCACATGAAAGCAAAGCGTTGAAAATTATTGAAATCGGACTAAAATTACGGCCGCTTTTCATATAACGGTAAATTTTAGAAATGCTTGAAACTTCAATATTTCGAAATTGAAGGACGCCAATTTACTCAAAATTGATACACCCCGGGTAACCATCTAGCGGTAGGTTTCGGAAATGTGAAAAAACATATATTTAATACTTGCGCCGGGTATTTAATGCTCGGCTCCGCCCGAACTTAGACTTTCTTACTTGTTTTAAGTATAATAAATAAAAAAATTTACGTTTTTTGGCTGAAATTACGATTTTTTTGGTTAAATTAACGCTTTCAGTGAAAGATTTCTTAATAGGGATGTCGGAAAAACATCGATGTTTTGCTTCGATGCATCGAAAATTTTCCGCTCCATGCACATATAAATAGTCGATGCATCGATGTTTTTTTTGAAACTGACATCTCTTGTCTTGTGGTCCTATAGTTCATTCCCACTAAGCCTTAAAAAGAGATTACAACTCAAAGGCGATAATTGCTCATATAAAGTACAATCAAACGAAAGCGAAAGCAAATATTAAGAACTAACCTGAGCTTTAAATTGCAGTTAAGCGTGGAAATGAGCCATTATTCAATCACCCATTACATATATATGTATGTTTGCATCCATTCAAGAATGGACAACCTCCCTGAAAAAAGTGGGACTAGGTTAAATACTAGTACAGGACCACGGTACCTTGTAACCACCACTAGTAACCAAAATGGTCCAAATATATGGAGAAAATATGGTTACATTAACATTGAGATGTCCTTGGGCCTGACCGCCTCTGGTCCACCTAGACAACTACTCCTTATATACCATGGCACATTCGGCAACCAAATCATATTGCCGTTGGGTCACGAAGAGGTGGTTTGAAGTGGTCCAGGTTCGCATAACAAGTTACTAGTATGCAACCTGGTCCTTTTACACACACTGTAAACGACCCAGTGGACCAACTGGTGCTCAAATTTTTGCAGGGCTTACAAACTAATTTTAATTTTAATAAATCAAATATTTAGACTAACCTGTAAACAGACTCGTCGTAGAAGAGTAGGATGCGCAGCGGTTGCTCAGCGGCATTAATGCTGCGTTTTTGTAAGCCGTGCGTACTCTGATGTGAATGCGGCGAACCAGCCATTTCAATGCGGACGCCATGAATCACCTGGAATGCAGAAAATTACTTATACATATAATAGAAGTTACAACGGATCGTACTTAATGCAAATAAATAAAAATGTATGCGGGGAAACTGAATATACTCAAAATAGTACATATTCTGATACATACTATAGACCACAAAAATACATAAATATAAAATCTTCGGAACAAGTGAAGAGTAACTCACTCTATCCTCTCAGTGCTCAACGTCACTCTAGCCTCTCAGTATTTTGGCGGGGATCCCAAATTTAGACATGGTGTCGTACAAGCAACTTCTCTCAGTGTTATCAAAAACTGCTTTTAAGTCAACAAAAAGATGTTAAGTGTCGATTGATTAGAACTTAGGGTGTTTTTCAATAAAATTCTGGAATAGGGCGTTTTTGAATCAACTCTGAAGTAGGGCGTGCTTGAAAAGTTTTCTGAGATAGGGCGTTTTTGAACTGGCCGTCGAGATAGGTCTATCTTCCACTCGGCCATTGATACATATACTTCCATAGAGTCAAGTTTTCTCAAGTGGGCCACCCAAAGTTGCCTTTTCGATTTTTTATATTTCATTGGCCGATTTTGAAAGTTAACATGGTATGCAATATTGACAACAAAGTTTTTGCACTAATTTTATTTTTTTTACGAGTTATTTGCAAAATAATTTTTATGCAGGCTTTTACACTTTTTGAAATATTTCACCAACTTTCGAATCTTATGAGGCAACAAACTCAAGTGGTCAGTTTGTAAAATTTCGATTCTTGTTTTATAAAAAGTATTGTATTTTTTAATCAATTGAATTTTTTTAACCAACTTCTCATATACCTAGGAAAAGAATTCAAAAAACAATATTTGCGCTAAACATTCAATTTTACTTTCATAAAAAAAAAATTATAGTACCTTGATTGACTTACAGCTTTTTACCAAAAAAATTAACCAAGTTTAAAAAAATATAATACAAATGAACTGAAGAGCAAAAAAAAAATTTTTGATAATTGAACCGTTTATTTTGAAAGTGGTATAAGTCATTTCGTACTTAACGTACTTATATAATCGGCTACTTGTAACCGAATGCATCTGTAAATCGCTATATTGTCATAAACTAACGACAAACCCTTCTACCTTTGGTTGATGAAGTTGAACGAATAGCGGACGCGATCAGATACAAATAACCGGTCATTTAAGCACAAGACCTGTGAAGTGACTTATACCACTTTCAAAATAAACGGTTCAATTCTAGATTTGATGCTTAAGTTTTAAAATTTTATTTTTTATTTTGTTTTTTTATTTTTTTATTTTTTTTTATTTATACTATTATTTGGCCCACAGCTTCGTGAGTACATATATTGATTGCTTCATGTGTTTCAAAATTTTTTTTGTTTTTGTCGCACAGTGTAATCGGTACATCTATGACATGTTTACACAACATAAGTAAAAGAACAGGTTAGAGATCATTTCTGCATACATACTTAACACGATTTTGTATCATTTTGGATTATGACACTATTTAAGCAAATGACATGATATGTGCATATTTTTTTATAAACATATGTATGTATGCATATATGTAAATTAATTTGAAAAAGTCTGAAATTGTTGACACATTTTTTGTGAAATTACCATCTATCTAACCCATTTTGGGCAACATGCACACGCGTAGGTAGGGGTACGAACCATGAACTTCATTTTAACTGCCACGACATATAGCGCTCACAAGCATGCTCACATTGTAAACATCTACGGCAAACTTATGTTTGTATGTTGAAAGCATGCATTTTTACAACATACCGCCGAAAATTATTAAATATTAGCTTGGGCGTTTGAAAGCAAATTAGCAATCAGTAAGCCGAAGCAGCCGTCGACAAATGATAAATGATCCGCGAAACCATTGCGTACATACAGTCAGCGTCAAAAATATGCATACACTGACGTTTTGACGATTTTATTTGTTTTAATTTTCTATGCCAGTTTTTTCTTATTTTTTTTTAATAAAAATATAGTTCATTGAACATAAAAAACCACAAGAATCAATTTTTTGCTTCCATTCAGAACTCGTTAAAATGCAAGAAATTTTCGTAGAAATTTTCAATTTTTCAATTCGATTTCCAGTAAAATTTTGAGTATGAATTTTTGTAGCCCATTAAATTTTATTTTGTTTTTGTTATTTTGTTAATTTGTTAATTTTTTCGTTGGTGTTTTTGCGTTAAAATTTACTTAATGGGCTACAAAACTGCGTCCTCAATTTCTAAGAAGTGGAATTGAAAAATTTAAAGTTTCCATGAAAATTTTTTCGTATTTGAGGCATCCCTTTTTATTTTTCCACCACTGTGTAAATAAATATAATCGTCAAAACGTAAGAGTATGCATATTTTTGACGCTGACGGTATGTGTATACTCACAAAATGTATGTAAGAAGACAACATTGAAAAATCATTTACTAGCATGTGCTATAAAGCAATGGTATTATACTTATTGCCTACATTCACTATTATATAATATTATATGTATGTAGTAAATATTTTGTCGTTCCGGTGTTTTAACTTATTAAAAAAAAAAAATTTAAAAATAAAATACATGTACATTCTTATTGAAAGTCGCTAGCAATTATCCAATTGAACAAAGTTTTTTATAATACATAGTTTAATAGTGTAAACTAGTTTAATTTTAATGGCGCTTTTAACTAGGGTCATTCGCTCAAAGTTCAATTTTTGTATCGATATGATGCGAGTAGATCTAATGGTACAAGGTCACACAAGACACAGAACTTCATACCAACAAAAAGTTAGTGCGTGCTCTTCTTATTTCCCATTAACTTGTTATTTTTATACTTTTTTACAAATCTTAGCAAAGGTAGTTTTAACTCTTTTGTAAGACAATTGGAAGATACTAGGAAAGCTAGACTTTACTATGGAAAGAAAAAAAGTTTGTCCGCTATGCCGAAGGCTTCATACCATTCATTAACATCGGAAAATTGTTCTTCAACCGATTAAGTACTGTATTTTAAGTTAGTTCTTTGGGAACTTAACAAAATGTTTGCCTATAGAAAAGTTATTGTATTTGAACAATCAGTGATAAAGAAGGTATAGTTTATACAGCATCGATCTTGACGATTTTCTCAGTAGACTTTGTATGATTATTTCGTTCTTTTACGATGTCGTTGTTGGGGCACGATTTTTATCCGGAACATTTGCACTTTGTTGGTCTTTAGCCCGGCTGAATTGCTACGCCCATAAGATTGAGAGAAAACTACTTTAAGTACTTCTCAATTTCTTTTCTGAAATGATTGCATCTTTCTTTAGTGTGGTAAAAAATAGTCTTTGGATTTTCGCGATTATGTAAACTTTTCTTTTTAACCGAACCTTCTTTCTATCAATAAACGTTCGGATATTAGTGTATACAGATAAAATCCGAATATTACGGATATCTAATTAATATTCGTTTATTCTTTTACCCGGATATCCGGTTAATATCCGTTCAATTAATTATCCGGATATTCTAACAGGCTTCGCCCTAAAAAAATGACGATCTTCTGAGTCTGCTTTCGCATGGTCTTTTTCTAGCCGTCTTTCGGAGAAAGCGGCGAGGTTTTTGACATAGAATACGATTTTCGTTTCGGTATGGACGCCGTTCTCAGATTTTGTAGCTGTAATTTTTAGAGCTTCACTAAAGGGCTAATGAACGCGAAATTATAAATTATAACAAATTATACAATATAAATGAAAATCAGCCAAAAATGCAGTGTTTAAAAAAAATGGGGTCGTTTTTTACGAAACTGTGCGGAAACTGTGCTCTAATTACTAACTATTGTTTTATTTAATCAACAACTTAAGTTATTTTCTTTAGTTTGTATATGGGAAGTATTGGTTGATTTCTTTGTCAAAAAGTTGCATTATATTATTTCGACCAAGAAAAAGACGACTGCCAACCCGAATACAAATACAGAAACGAACACGAAGACATACCTGAAGATGAGAAGGTATGAGAAGACAAACAGAAAGATGAATACGAAGACGAGGACGTACATGAAGACGAAGACGATTACGGAAAAAACAGGAACATAAAAACGAAGATGAACACGAATGCGGAGACGAACACGAATACGGCTAGGTTTATGAAGAGGAAGTTGATGCGAATATGAATACGAAAACAGATATTTACCATTAATACTACCACTACCACTACCACTACCATTACCATTACTGTAACCATTACCTTTCCATTGCCATTATAACTATCATTGTCATTAACATTACTAATATCATAACCATTATCATTACCACTACCATTACCATTTCCATTACCATACCCATTATCATTACTAAGACATTATTAATAGATTCTACGGAAAATTTATGTGACCCTTTACGCATTTGTCATGGGAAGTCCATAGCCGATGTAACGATGAGTTATGAGATTCACAACGACATTGACCTAGTTCAGCGAATCAAATGGGAAGAGGAAGGCCTACGCTGTGTTGGAGAGGTCAGGCGGAGAAGAACTTAGCTTCACTTGGTATTTCCAATTGGCATCGGTTGGCACAGAAGGGGAACTGCAAAAATCGCTTAAGAGGTTACAGCGCCAATTAAGAAAAGAAAGTCGAGGTTCAGATACAGGGCGAAGGAACAAGGTTATGCATATGAAATCATTATGTTATAGGCGCTATGGTACATACATACATTAACGTTTAAGGTTTAAGTTTCATGGGCCATGTAAAATCTAAACTTATGTATATATCACTTGTTCGTAGAATTTGGTTTCAGATTGCGAAGTTAAAATTGACATCAGTGTTGACAGAAAATAGTGTTTGTAAAAATTTGCTGATAGAGGGTAGAAATATAAGCCCTCGATATGTATTTTGAAAGTTTTAAAATCATACTCAATTTTAATTTTAACCGATACTTCAAAAGGTAAACCAAAATAAAGTTAGAATGCGTTTTGATTGCGAAATGTTATTTTGGTTGTCAAACCTAGCTTTATATATATTTTTTTTTAATCACGGGCCGTGTTGTGTTTGCTTGCCTA